AGGAAGGAAGGAAGGAAGGAAGGAAGGAAGGAAGGAAGGAAGGAAGGGTGAGGGAAGGTTAGGGTTTCTTTGAGATAATGCTCTCCTGAGACATAGCAGAATTACAGCTACAGATGCACACATGCACTTTGGAAGATCTCATGCACAGTATCTCCATAGTTGGGATCATGCCAAGAAGGTGACTATACAGACACACAGAAGGATGGATCAATTATAGCCCGTAAGAAGCATGTGGAGGAGAAACACCATGTACATGTCAGAAGGTCAATTGAGAGCAAAAGAGATGACAAAGAACCATGGTTGGCAGAACCAGCTCTTGGAAACAAGGAAGCAACTGGACAGGGAGGACAATCACAACATCTTTCTATCTTCAGAAGACACGGACACAACATAAAGAGATGGGAGGGAGGTAGAAATCACAAGAAGCCAGAAGGAACAGAAAGGCAGAACTCTCTCTCCCTCTCTCTCAAGCTGGTTTTCTGAAGACCCCAACGATGGTCTGTGCTTCAAGTCACCTGCTCCATGAGAAGGTAGCCTTCTACACCCAGATCAGGGCATGGAGGAGAAAGCTATTCAGGGCTCAAGCAACATCTTTGTTGGCTAACTCCCTGGCCAGGCAGAATGTCAAGCTCTAAGATAGCAAGGACGTAAGCCTACCAGGTCAAGAATCCAGACCTTCAGCTCCAAAGAAGAAGGAAGGCTCTCCACCTTTGAAGGACAGGGCTCACATTCCTCCTGTTCTCCAAAAGTTAATCCGTCCTCTCCTTTGCAATGCCGTTAAGCAGCCACCTCAGTCCAGGGTGAGGAGGGACAATGGAGTCGACTAGCAACTGCCTTGAGCTTCAGAGTTCATGTCCTGGCTGCCAATTAACTTCTCAACCTGACTTGCCTTCTGCTCCTCATTCATCTGGGCCAAGTGGTGAAAAGCTATAATGCAACTGATCGCAACGGCCTTTTTAACTTCGTTTATGTTTTTAATCCTGGGCCAATTCGTGGGTGTTAGCAAGCTTCTGGTTCTTCGGACTCAAGGGATGTGAGGCTTTCTGAGAAGGAAAGAGTTCCCTTCTTTTTGGATACATTCCCACACACCTTGGCATCAAAAACCAAAAATGTGGATTTTTTTTCCCCTAGAAGCAGACAAAAAGGATGGAAGGACATTGGAAAAATGGATCAAGAGAGGGATTTTTAAAAAAAACAAGCATGAAGAGAATGATGGTTCAGATGGAATGGTTTAAAACTAGAACAGGGGTGTCCAAATCAAATGATTTAGGACTGTAATTCTAACCCGAATGAGAGCTGGATATGCTACAGGTATTCTCCTCAGAGAAGATGGTTTACAACTGACCTTCTCCAACTGGTCATTGCAACAATCCTAGGCGAGATATAAATAAAAGGCGAAGGGTCTTATTAGGTTGCTTTACAGAGCTATGGGTGGAGTGGGACAATTCCTGCAACCAACTTGACACTGCCAACTTCTCACCGTCAACCTGGCACTGCCAGTTCACCACAGCCAACTCACTGTAGAGCAACTCAACGCGGCCAATTTGCCACCGGACAATTTGCTGATGGACAATTCAACAATTCAATTCTTTAAAACAGGGGTGTCAAACTCAAGGCCCGTGGGGGGCTTCAGTCTGGCCCACCCTGGAAACAGGGAAGGACTGGCCTGCGGTGACTCTGCCAGCGGAGAAAACAGAGCTCGGGAGGGTTGTATGCGGTAGAGGGTTGCAAGAGGCCGTTGCAGCCGAAACGGAGCTCGGGAGCCCATTTCGCTGGCAGAGCCCTCAGGCCCCCACAGGTGCCCCCCCATGAGTGACATCAAGCTGGCCACACGCCCCAGACCCCCCAGGTCAAACACAACCCTGATGCGGCTCTCAATGAAATCGAGTTTGACACCCCTGATTCAAAATGATTAAAAATATATATTTTAATTTTTCTCATGCACATTTCATTCTGTCCTGCCTTTGGCATTCTTTCTTTGGTGATTCTGGTCCACTTTTTCTTGGATGTTCTATTCAACTCAACACAGTGAGTTGTTGTCCCACAGAGAATTAGTCGCGGCAAGCTGGCCACGGCACGTTGGCCACGGCAAGTCGTCATAGACCTGCTTTGGGGGGGGGGGCAATTAGGTATCTGCCTGGGCTTTGGCAAATAAGGGACTCTTCCATCTTTTAATGGAAAAAGAGGTGAAAATATTAACTGAAATAGGTGAGAGGAATTCCTAGTGTTTTAAGCCAATTGTGCAGGGCTGGCCTTCTTAGGTATGTCCGTTCTTCTTTTCAACCCCGTGAAAAGAGCATCCAATCAGGGTGAGCATTTTTTGTCTCCCGTTGCAGAAGTCCAGTCCTGGAAGTCCCCTTGGCCATGAGTTGGACACCCCTGGACCAGAGGAGGAAAGAGTTCTGCAGAAAGCATGAGAGCCATGAAGGAAGGAGGGGCATGAAGCTTAGACGGAACACAGGCGCCCCCGGTGGGGGTCTGGTGGGACAAATCTAACCTTATAGGCAATACGAGCGGGACAGTTCTTCCCCAGGCCAAGTGGTGGCGACATGTGTCTCAGCATCTCGTACATGTCGGTGTAACTGATCCGCCCACTTGGAACCAGAAGGGGGAGACGGAGAGACAGACGGGGAAGGTAAGACAACGCAAGAGAGAAGCACCAGCCGCAGACATAATGGCGGAGGGGGGGGGAATAATAAGGATCGGTGGGGGAGGGAAGCAGACAAGGAGACAAGAGAATTCTCAGGTTAATTAGTGCATTGGAAGGCTGGTTTACGGTGAAGGTAACAAAACCGAGGAGGACGGTGGATGAGGAGGGCGTCTCCAGGTCCATCTCTTTTGGGTTTCTCCTGCCATCCTCTCTCAAGATTTCATTTTATTTTTTGTGGGGAAAAACAGAAACAGGGCAGGCCATAGGAAAGGAAGAGAGGAGGTGTGGAATCCCCCAGGGAAAGTGTAGGAGGAAGGAAATTGTTAACAGGGCTCCTTTAGAGAAAGGCAGCACTCGATTTCAGATGGGGAGGCGTTATTTTGGTGGAAAGGAGAGTGGTGGTGCTCATCATCTGAAGGAAAAGTGGAAGGAAGCGTTATGGGACAGTCAGCAGTCCTTGAAGGGAAATGTTTGTTGGAGTCCGTGGAGTTCTCTGAGCTTGGGTTGCTTTCTCGCAGAGGTTTCATTACCCAACTAGGTAACATCATCAGTGCTCTTCCTTCCTCCCTTCCTTCCCGGAAGGATGGGAGATCTGTTTCAATGGCATGCAAGGGCTACAATGGAAACCAATGGCAGACAGACATCTTCTGTGGCAAACATTATCCAAATATTCAGGCTTCAGGAATGAATCAAGAAATAAGGACGTAGCTTTAGGACCTTTGGAGATGGAAGATAAGAGACAGCCTGGCCCACAGCTGCAAAATGGGTGGGACAAGAGGCTTAGGGACCCTCCCCAGTTTCTCAGGCTGTAGAAGAGACAGTGGGAGAATTGTATGTGCAAGATTGATGTCAGCCTTACCAAATAGATAGACAGAAAAGCCAATGAAATGACTAATTCTACTTTAGCACTGATTATGTTACATAGTTTGGTCATAAAATGTCTGTCAGAAAACCACCAAGCTTAGAGAGCACCAAGGATACCTTACTTCTATTTTATTCTATATTAACAAAACCTTAGAAGTCTGAAAACACAATTCTCTTCCCATCACCTTTACAACAAGTGACCGACATAAAACATCTCCTTTCTCAGTGACTGAAGATTTCATCTTGTACTCCTTTTTTAATATAGAAAAATAGATCATATCCTTCTTCAATAATTTAGCCTGTATTTTGCTACAACAATCTCTAAAAGCTCTTAAAGCCTAGTTAAGAATTCGAGATTGCAGTTGACTGTTGGTTCGCCCTTTAAAACCAGGTTTCGGTTGCTTTTCTCCTTGATTCGTTTCCATCCACTGCTCCTTGTCCTGCCTTCAGGGGCCTTGGCTCCCTCCTCTTCTCTGTGGCAGCCCCTCAAATATTGGAAGGCTGTTATCATCTCATTTCCCCCAAGTCCTTCTTTTCACCAGGCTAGACATACCCAATGTCTGCAACCGTTCTTCACATCTTTTAGCCTCCAGCCTGTTATTTTTAATTCTTTTAATCATCAGTGCAGAGAAGAGCAACCAGGATGAGGAGGGGACTGGAGACCAAAACAGAGGAAGAACGGCTGCAGGAACCGGGCCTGGCTAATCTACTTAAGAGAAGGACCAGGGGAGACGTGATAGCAGTCTTCCAATATTTGAGGGGCTGCCACGGAGAGGAGGAGAGGCTCAAATTATTCTCCAAAATGATGTAGGGTTCCCTGCTTGGGTGGGGTGGGGGGTTGGGCTAGATGACCTACAAGGTCCCTTCCAACCCCGTTAATCTGTTAAATCTGCCTCGAGCTCGGGCGAGGCCGGGCTAACCTAAAACGTCTCCCAATTCTGGGTTAGAAGAAGGAAACATTTTTAAACTGACAATCCCATAAGGCTCCTGTATCCAAGCAAGGCAGATCTAAGTGGGGCAGAAGGAAAAATGCAGCAGGCACATGTAGGGGTGGAAATCAAGCGTGCCCATCGCTTCTAGGTACACAACCGGTTAGTTTCATTCCAGGGTTATTTCTATCTTTCTTTTGCCTTTTGCAGCGCAGACTCAAAAGACCCCATTCAGTTGCAAGTCAAGGCAACCTCAACCCCTCCCCTCCCTCCGACCCCCCCCCCCAAGGACTGGAATTTCCCCACCCCCACCCCAAAATTCTCTCAAACCTTGTATGCCACTCTATGAGGGCACTTCTTGCCTAAGCCCAAGGGTGGAGCAATAGCTCGGAATAAATGGTACATATCCTTATAATGTATGCGGCAACTGGAAAGGAAACAGACATTTATAAGTCGCGATTCAACTGGGGGGCGGGGGGGGGGACTGTGGTTAAAATAAAAATAAAACATCTCTGCTGGGAACTCCTGTCTCCATCCCACAAGAAACATGACAAGGAGAAGAAAAACTGGGGGGGGGAAAAAAATGACATTTCAGAAACCCAGGAGTTAGAAAATGACTCTCTGCTGAAGTCCCATAAAAGTGATCTGTTAGTGTCTGTAAATAAGAGGAGATGAAACAATAGCAATAACTTTAGAATAGAATAGGAGCTGGAAGGGGCCTTGGAGGTCTTCTAGTCCAGCCCCCAGCTCAAGCAGGAGAACCTGTACAGTTTCAGCTAAGCGACTGTCTAGTCTCTTCTTAAAAACTAATAACTTAGTCCTCAACTTACACCACAATTGAGCCCAGAATTTATGTTGCTGTGTGAGATATTTGCTAAGGGAGTTTCGCCCCATTTCGCGACCTTTCTCGCCCGCCGTTGTTAAGTGGATCACTGCTGTCGGTTAAGTGAGTCCGGCTTCCCCACGGGCTTTTGCTCATCAGAAGGTCCCAAAAGGGAACTCACGTGACTTTGGGACGCAGCAACGGTCATAAGTGCAAAGCAGTTGCCAAGTTGGACCACAGGGAATGCTACACAGGTGGTAATTTTTCAAAAACGGTCCTGAGTCGCCTTTCTTCCAGTGGCACGGCACCATTGAACGGTCATTAAATGAACTGTTGTAAGTCAAGGACTAGCTGTTATCTGTTTTCTGCACAGGCACCAACCAGTAAGTAGAACAACAGACAGGGAAACTAAGCCGGCTTTCGTGGACCTCATTCCCTTCACTGACTGTTGTTTTTCCCTACGATTTTTTGCCATGGTGGTGTAATCATCATTGCTCTTTGGAGTTCAGATCTTTGGCTCTCTGGAATGAATGCTGCCCAACGGGAGAAAGCGGAGTGTTGTATCATTAGAAATATGGATACTGGCCCAGCTTCCAAATCTCCGTCACCCAAAATATTGATGGGTCTTGAACTCCTGAAACCAGGAGGGGGGACACCCCCACGCAGCTGTCCTGGAGGATAGCCAGCTAATCCCTTTTTTTTCCTAGGCTGATCTTCTGCAAGTGGGAGAAGCAGCTCAGCCAGCCCAACTTTGCCAGGCCTTCCTCAAGACCTTCCAAAATGGGCGGCGGAGAGGACATACATACCAAGCAGCTGGGTCGTACTCTGCCCACACGCGGATGAACTCGTCCAGGTGATGAGGCCCAAGGATGGACGAATCTCGGGTCAAGTACTCAAAGTTGTCCATGATTACAGCCACAAATAGGTTCAACATCTGTAAAGGGAGGGGGGGGGAGTGAAATCAGGGTAGGGAGAAGGAAAGGTATTAACTCTAATCCAAATTAATCACAAAGACCAGACCAGAGGTTCTGACCAGTTCTGGAGAACCGGGAGTGGGAATTTTGAGTCGTTCGGAGAACCGGCCAATCCCATCACTGACTGCCCCCCCCCAACCCCACCTCTTCTCAGCTTCCCACTGAATCCCAGCTGATCGGCTGGGTCTGCTTTGGTTGCCCTGCCCAGGAGAACGGAGCTGGAAAGCAGGTTAGTGGGGGGAGAGGGAAGGGGGATTTTGCACTATCCTTCCCCTGCCACGCCCACCAAGCCACGCCCACAGAACCGGTAGTAAAATGTTTTGAACCGCACCACTGGCCAGAAGGCAAGACAAGGAACAACGGGTGGAAGATAATCAAGGAGAGAAGCAACCTGGAATTAAGGAGAAACTTCCTAACAGGGAGGACAATTAACCAGTGGAACGGCTTGCCACTCGAAGTTGTGGGTGCTCCATCACTGGAGGCTTTTAAGAAGAGAATGGATAGCCACCTGTTTGAAATACTATAGGGTCTGCTGCTTAAGCAGGGGGTTGGACTAGATGACTTCTGAGGTCCCTTTTAACGCTGTGATTCTGTAAGGGTCTCTTGCTTGAGCAGAGGGTTGGACTAGAAGACCTCCAAAGTCCCTTCCAGCTCGATTCTGATTCTTAACTTTTTTGTTATTGTTGATAAATGAGTTCCCAACTTTTTAGACCAGCAGACGAGGACACGGACTGGAACAATAAGGGTAACTTTTCATGGCCAAAGGAAAACTATGCCTGAAAGAGACAGAGCTCTTGAATACATTATAGCCTTGCACAAGGTTGTCTCACCAGAAAGGAGCAGAGGAAGATGAAGGAGACAAAGTAGAAGTAAGCAAAGTCACTGCCACATTCGTTTCGGCTGAGGTTGGAGTGCTCGTCACAGGGCTGGTTGCTCAGGCACGCAAGCATGATCTCATGCCAGGCTTCTCCGGTAGCGCTCCTGAAATCAAGAAAAGAAAAGAAAAGGAATTGGGGGAATCACCTGATCTAGAATGGACTCAGTAGCTTACCTGTGTCTGTATTATGTAGCCTGGATGGCAGAACTACCCTGTTTCCCCAAACATACCACCTACCCTGAAAGTAAGTCCTAGCTTGATTTTTACAGGTTCTCGCCCAATATAAGCCCTACCCCCAAAATAAGCCCTAATTAAGATCCTGCCCATTCCAGAGTGGAGGGGTAAAAATTAAGCTAGGGCTTACTTTCAGGGTAGCGGGGGGGGGTAGGTGGAGCTGCCCTACTACTTACCTTTGGGCAGTTGTAGCCAGGCCTTGCACACCCCGACACCTGCCTTGAGTTACAATCTTTTAAAGGTAAAGAGTTGGGGTGTTCTTTTGCCCCCCCCCTTTTTTATGGCAACTACTAAAACAGGCATAGGAATGTTTTGTGAGTTGACAAAAGGTTCCCCTCCTTGCACACCCGTGCTAGTCGTTTCCGGCTCTAGGGGCCGGTGTTCATCTCCGTTCCAAAGCCAAAGAAGAGCCAGCGCTGTCCGGAGACGTCTCCGTGGTCGTGTGGCCGGCAGGACTCAACGCCTTCAAAGGCGCACGGAGGAACACTGTTCCCTTCTTCCCACCAAAGGGGTCCCTGTTTTTATACTGGCATTTTCTGTACATGCTTTTGAACTGCTCGGTTGGCAGAAGCTGCTGGGACAAGGAACAGGAGCTCACGCCGTTAGGCGGTGCTAGGGATTCAAACCGCTGAACTGCTGACCTTTCTAATCGACAAGCTCAGCGTCTTAGCCTCTGAGCCACTGTGTTCCTTGGCGTGGTTGATAAACATGGTCAAAGAAAGAATATTTCTCCTGTACAGGATCCAAGAATGACTCACCGGAAAAGCAGCATTAGTGCTTGCAGAAAGGTTTGGAAGTTATTGTGACGATTAATGGCACTGTCATCATCCAGAGCGATGTTCCCAAAGACCTGGGGGGGGGAGGGGGGGCAAGGGGAGAGAAGGAAGGGGGGAGAGACGGAGAGAGAGAGAGAGAGAGAGGAGATGTGGAGATGATGGCGACTCTTCAAGATGAGTTTTCTCCGTGTATGATTGAATATGTATTTCCTCTACTGTAAGTTTTGGGCAAAATCGCCCCCCCCCCACAACAAAAATATTTCTGGCTTTCCATCCCTATCCTGCATTATCACCTTTGGAAAACATTACGTCATGGGGAAAGTGACGAGATCCCTACAGATGAGAATGGGATTAGGAAAATATTAGAATGTATAGCAGAAATGAACAGATGAACACTGGCAATCAAGGAGAAAGGACAAAACGGAATATTATACGACGTGGGAGCTATTTTATGGGTGGTTGGAGAATAAACACAGGAGTGAGAAATAAATGGAGATTAGTAAAATAAAAAAGATACATTAAGATGGAGATGTAAACAATATGATGATTATTAATATGATTGTTAAGATTATTATACCTATTATAGTATTATGTTTTCATTAGAAGATATGTTAAGAGGGAGAAATGAATAGAGTCTTAGTGCTGATTATTATTATTATTATTATTATTATTATTATTATTATTATAAGATTAGAGAATGATTATCAATGTAATGAATATTGCAAATGTTGATTGTAATAGCACAGAGACATTTCTATCCAGACGACACACTTTTTAACGGAAGATGATATGTGCAGGTTAAAAAAATAAACAGCAGCAGCAGCAGCAACAACAACAATAATAATAAAAAAGACGAGTTTTCTCCAAGCACCTCCACGGGGAAGTTGGGTTTACAAAAGGATGTGTGGGGCTTTTCTTGAACCCATTGCTAAACCTCTTCCGTGACTCTGGTGAGCGGAGGCTCTAAACGCCGCTCAGCAGATTTTTACCTGCATGCCGATTATGGCATAGATGAAGAACAGCATGGCGATGAGGAGGCACACGTATGGCAAGGCCTGGAGGGAGAAGAAAGGAGGGAGGTGAGACTCGCCCGGCAGAGCCCAGGGCACCACAACATCTGCACAACCTCACATTTCATAGGTGGACAGGCAGTCCTCGGCTGCAATGGAGCCCCAAATTCCTGCTGCTAAGGGAGATATTTGTTAAATGAATCTTGCCCCATTTCATGGCCTTTCTTGCCACTGTTGTTAAGTGAATCCCTGCAGTTGTTAAGTTGGTCACACCATCGTTAAGCGAACCCGCCTTCTCCATTGTCTTGGCTTGTAAGGAGGTCGCAAAAGGGGAATGGCATGACCCTGGGACACTGTGAGCGTCATAAATACGAGTCACTTGCCAAGTGCCTGATCACATGACTGCAACAGTCGTAAGTGTGAAAAACAGTCATAAGTCATTAGTTTCAGGGCTGGCCTAAGTCATTTTTTCTGTGATGTTGTAACTTCGAATGGTCATTAAATGAACTGTTGTAAGTTGAGGACTACCTGTTTGTATTTGGGAATTTTTTATGCACCTTTTAAAAAAATGTCTTGTGTTGGTTTGTTTTTGTTTTTCTTGTGGCCCATCAGCGGGCAGCAGAGCTGGCACCAGACTCGGACAGTGGGGAGGTTGGGGAGGAACATGGGCCAGTCCTGGAGTCTGGGGAAGGCTCTGACGAGGGCTCTGCATCGGAGGCAGAGATGGGGCCGGGGCCGTCCGACAGTTATCAGCTGCCTTCAGAGTCGGAGATCAGTGGGGAAGAAGAACAGCTGGAGCCTGTTCCCACTGTGCGCATGCACAGAGCCGCCAGAAGAAGGGAACAGCTGAGGAACAAGGCTCAACTTGGGAGCAAAGGCACAGGTGGACGGTGAATGGCCCCTCCCAGAGGGTATAAAAGAGGAGCAAAAGGGGAGTGGGGTTTGCAGGAGACAATTAGTTCAGGTGAAGATCTGATCCTGACTTCTTGCCAAGTAATTGCTGCTCCAGCATGGCATTTGGAAGATATTGGCCTGGCAGCCCTCCCAGCCTGATAAAGGTCCATTGTTGTGAAATCTCATGAAAGGCTGTTTGCGGAACTTTGCTGGAGAGGAATCCACTTTAACCTAAATAAAAGGGGTTTTGTTGGGACAAGGAGTCGGCTTCATGGTCTTGGGAAGCCTTACCTTGAAGGACTGGACAAACGTCCACAGCAGAATCCGTATGGTGTAGCCCTGACGGAGAAGCTTGATCAGTCGGGCTGCCCGGAAGAGTCGGAGGAAGCTCAGGTTAATGAAATTATCCTGCAGAGAAAAGAAACATTTGCATCGTTCAGACCTCAGGTGGAATCAAAAGGTGCAACCCACAAAAGAGAAACAAAAAATAAATTACCACCTTTGCTTTCAAAGTGTCAAGTTGCCCACCAAAAAAACTTTTGGAAAAGAAGATTTTTCCTCGTGCAGAAACTTTGAGGAATCCCTCTCCCCACAAACCCCTCCTTTGGCTATGGGGAAGAGGGAGCGGAAAGGGGGCGAAAGAGGAAAGCTCCCTTTGCAAGAGATTCCTAGTTGTTGTCTCTTTGGGGGTTAATCCTTAAAGTAGGTTCTGGCTTGGAAGGGTGGACAGTGAACCTTTAGTCAACACAAAGGACCATCGTGAAAGTCAATCATTTGTAATGGGTCTCTTCTTACATCAAAAAGAGGGGATAACTAGATAGCTAGAAAGCTGGATAGCTGGACGGATGGATAGATAGATAGATAGATAGATAGATAGATAGATAGATAGATAGATAGATAGATAGATAGATAGATAGAT